TCCCCCAACAAGCACGAGCACATCGCCCTCGTCGCCGGCGGCACGGGCATCACGCCCATGTACCAGCTCGCGCGCGCCATCTTCAACAACCCCGAGGACAAGACCAAGGTGACGCTCGTGTTCGGCAACGTGACGGAGGAGGACATCCTGCTCAAGAAGGAGCTCGCCGAGCTTGAGAACACGTACCCGCAGCGCTTCCGCGCCTTTTACGTGCTCGACAAGCCGCCCAAGGAGTGGAGCGGCAACAAGGGCTTCATCAGCAAGGAGCTGCTGAAGCAGGTCCTCCCCGAGCCCAAGAGCGAGAACATCAAGGTTTTCGTGTGCGGCCCCCCCGGGCTGATGAATGCTATTTCTGGTAACAAGAAGAGCCCCAAGGACCAGGGCGAGCTTGTCGGTACCCTCAAGGAGTTGGGGTACTCTCCTGAGCAGGTTTACAAGTTCTAGGGCGTTTTCTTTTTGGCTTGTTAGATGGAGGGGCAGTCTAGATGTCGTAAAGAGCGTCGAGGAGAAGAACCTTGTTTGTTGTATGAGTAGCTGAGGCGATAGACGCATTAGATTCCTCAATGAATGCTGGCGGTTTGCGTATATCATATATCCTAATGGAGTGAGGACCTCGGCGAGGGCCTCGTAATGGAAGTCTATCTAATCCGGTGAATCATGCGAACTTTCCGCTCGTCGGTTCGAGGTATACGTGACTGAATACCCACATGCTCTTCCCTCGGTCCCTATCTACGTACGGCACCTGCCCTATATACATACCCTCTCAGCGCCAATTCCGTCACCAGTCAGCAGGCCCCCGTCTAGGTTGACGGGTCAGGTCAAACTGGCTGGGCGGTGGAGTGGTCTATGGTCAACAATCAAATCAATAACGCCAGTCAGCCTTACTCGACGACAGGCTTAGCGAAAAGTACCCGAGTTCGAATCCCAGTATGAGCACCAGAAAGTTCCCAGCATGTGCACCACGAGAAGTAGCCCCCAGTCCAGCACCGCCGGGGGGGGGGGGGACTCTTTTTTCCTTTCATTAACTTCGAGACTCATTGAATGCCGACTTTTGAGTATATTGAATAGATAGCTGGTCACTTGAGGGGGGTTAAATAACTAGAATAAGACGGAGATTTCTTCTTAATGTTCGGAGGATATGACTCTTTATTTTTTATTTACTGCTCAAGAATACGGTGATTGCTAAGTACAGTATGGAGTGTAGTACATTACGGCTATTTTGCAACCTATACTTCTGGGTTTCAGAGACTCTTGGTGGCGGAGGCGATGCACTCGTTGATGATGCCGGTCCACTTGAGAGCGTTGTTGAAGTCCTTGGCATCGATGCTCTCCTGGAGGCCAGGGAACACGGCTGGATCATACATGTTAGCGTTACAACTCATCAGGAACGGTCTAGGTGGCAAAACCAAAGGGAGGAAACACGGAAAAAAGGGAGCTTACCTCCAGAATACCCAGTCCACAAACCAGGCGCAAACACAACGTGCTTGAACCAGGTCCGGCCGTCAAGGCCGCCGGGGTACAAAAACTTGCGCTCGAAGCCCTTGTAAGACCTGTTGACCCAGACGAAGGCCAGGGCGAGCTTGATCTTGCGATAGAGGTTCCACCAGGGGATGCTGCCGTACTTGAGCTCCCAGTCAACCTCGCCGGCCTTTGTGTCGAGCACCACCGTCTTCTCGCGCAGGGCAGCGATGGAGGTGCGGAGGATCTGGAGCGAGGTGCGGAACTGCGAGAGGGAGCCCTTTGCGTCCGCGTCGGCGACGGCGACGGTGGCGCGCATGCGGAAGAGCGCGTCCTCGTCGGAGTCTACGTCCTCGATGGTAGCGGTGAGCTTGGCCTCGACTTGGTCGACGTAGCCCGTCAGCGCGTCGGCATAGTCGGTGGCGTTGAAGCGGATGACGGGCACGTTGGCAAGCTCTGCGACGACGAGGCCGAGGATCTGGGCCATTGTGCGGTGGTAGACGAAGCCTGGGTCGCCGAATTCCTTCATCCAGTGGAAGGAGTCGTAGTTGGAGTGGTACTGATAAACGACGTCGCCGTTCTCGCCGCCGAAGCCGAAGTCGAGGGAGGGGATGCCCGCGAAATCCTGGAAGGCGGTGAAGTCGGAGCCGGAGCCCATGGTGCTGATGCGGCCGTCCCAGACGTCGGCGACGGTCTGGCCCGGGACGGTCTGGTTCGGTGAGGGGACGAGCTGGGTGACCTCGCGGAGGACGCGGTGGAGGAGGGGCGCAGCGGAGGGGTTGAAGTTGGGGCCGCGGACGCCGACGTCGACGTTGACGTAGGCGACGGACGCTTCGGTGAGCCAGGGGAGATACTCCTCCACCCACTCGGTGCTGCCGATCAATGAGTACTCTTCGCCGTCCCAGCTGGCGAAGACGATGGTGCGGGTGGGCTTCCAGCCGCTGGCGAGGGCGACGCCGACGCCGCGGATGACTTCGTTGAGAACGGCGGAGCCGCTGTTGGGATCGCCGGCGCCACCCGCGATCCAGGCGTCGCGGTGGTTTCCGACGACGACGACCTCGTTGGGGATGGTACCGTTGACGATACCGATCACGTTCCACAGTGGTGTGGTGGTGTAGTTTTGTTCGTTGTAGAGGTTCAGGACCACGTTATCGGGAGTGGGACCAATGTTGTACTCAACGCCCTTGTACTTGAGTCCGAGATTCCTGTTCCAGTACTTGTTGAAGTCCTTGACGGAGGGGCCGTGGCCATTGAGAGCCTTGAGAATGGGGAGGGCATCAGCGTAAGAGATCGGAATGGAGGGGATGGAAGGTGTAGCATCGTCGACGGGAGCACGCGGCGCGCCTGGCTTGGAGGGGTACCCAGGAGTGGACGGGTCACCGGGGCGCTGGGAGAGGAACTGGGCGCTTCCGCGCTGAACGGCGCTCGGGTGACGGGCAGGGCCGTTGGGGTACGCCTCGTATCCGTTCTCCTCGGTCACCTTGCCATCATCGCCGGGGTCGCTGTAGAGAAGAGCACCGATGGCACCCAGCTCTTGGGCGCGCTTGATCTTGAGGCCGCGGAAGATACCGCCGTACTTTGCAATGACGATCTTGCCCTCGAGGCTGACGTTGGCCTTGACGAGGTCTTCGTAGTCCTGGTACGTGCCGTAGTTGACAAAGACGAAAGATCCGGTGACGTTACCGCTGGCGGAGTAGCCGTGGAAAGTCGGGACTCTGTCCTCCAAGCCGGAAGAGGGGTCTTCTTCGAGGACGTCCTCCTCGAGAGCAGCCTTGAACTCTACCGTCCAAGTAGACTCTTGTTCCTTGGTCTTGGACAGAAGGGAGAGACTATGGTCGATGGGGTAGTTCAGGTAGACGTCGTACGACACGATTTCGGATTGCACACCCCACGACTCCCACTTTTCCTTCGTCCATGCGGCCTGTCACACATTGTAAGATGGTAGTCCCGTAATAACGGCTGCAATATGCTTACCTGAGAGTAATTCTGGCCCGCCAGATGGGGACCGGCAGTGTAATACCTGCTCCATTCCTCGGCCTTTTCGGATGAGGGTACCTCAAAGAGGATCTTTTGCACTTCCTCGTGGGTAATGGGGACACTGTCGACGCTGTTCGTCCAGGACCAGCCGTGATGGTGGTGACCGTGGTGACGAGGAGGCTCATCAATGAAGAGCGCAACTACGAAGAAGATGGACCAGAAAATAAGGATGGAAGAGAGTGCAACGGTGCAGAACCGGCGCAGGACGTGGTTCGGGTACCTGCGGCGCGGCGCACCGATGTAGACATTGGTGATCAGCGGCGTCCGCTCATTAGACATTTTGTCGTCGAAACGCTTTCTGGATTAAGGTCAGCGTGAATATCAAAAGCATGCTCACACTACACGTTGAGAGCTCATCGACGGGCAACTCGACGATGAAATGAGTGATGTGATGTAGGTTGCCAGGCAGGAGGATGAGACGCGGGAGCACGTGTGGCTGACGAGGATGGTTGCATCATCCCGTCGCCGCCAGCCACACTAAGCTCTGGTAAGCTCTCTTCAAGCTCCTAGAGCTGCTCACAAGGACAGAGACACCCAGGCTGCAACAAAATTGAATCGACTTACTCTAGCGCCATCTTGCAATACGAAAACCGAAGCCGTCGTCAACAATGATCTCTGCGCCTTTTTACCAGAGATGTAGTTGAAACAGAGTTGAAGTTGCCATGAGCATTGCGTGCTTCGTCGATGTTATCAGCATCAGTGGTGATTTTGCCGATCGGCTGCCGCCGCCTGGTGAATCCTCCACTGGCACTGGCACCCGCAAACGTGATTGCACAGCTTCTGCTTGACGCTGGGTCTCCTTCCTGATTCGGGGGTTCAGACGAGGGGGGAACGAGAGCGGGTCGTCGGCGTCCCGGTGCCGACGTTTGGAAAAAGCCCGGAATCAAGATAGCCAGCGATAACAATTTTTCTCATGGAGAACGGCATACGGAAGTCTTTCCGGTGCGATTCGACTTCCAAACTTGCATCGACGGCCCCAGCATCCCGTCCCGTGACGCCGCATCGATCGTCGCCGTTAGCTGCGCAGCCCGGAGCTCAGACTGTCAGACATTTGATCAGTCGTCAAGGTCAACATGTTACATCATCTAGGTAAGCTATCTAAGCTTTGGCTACCCAGAAGGCTAAAGGGCGCCTTTGCCGCCTGTCTTGGATTCGAGTCAAGAGACGCCCTCTTCCCGGTGGCTGCGTGCATCGGCTAACGTCGGTGATCACGCAATTGATTGGGTCAATGTCGTCCAATCAGTCCTTTTCAGTACGGATACACTCCCTGAACAGCCAACCACCACTCACCGAATCTGCCTTCTCGCAGCGGCAGCGCAAGTACAAAGTATATCAGACGTGACTGCCTACCTTTGATTTTTTGCAGCCTCTCTCTCGTATGGCGGTGTGTTGTCTCACAGCTTTCAGCACAAATGTCTTGGGATAGCCATGTTTGGACTCATGCTTCAGGTGCTTCGTTGGCGCTGGAAGCAGAGGATCACCCCTGTCCAGTCGGCTCGTGATGATTATTCAGCTATTGTCGCACTTGCCCCGACATTCGGCCCCGGCTTCGGCCAAGTCGGCCTAACGCCGCCGGGAAAAGAGGCCCCCCACCGGCAAAGACTGGACGTCATGGCAATTGCGGGGATGGCGACCTCTTGACCTTGCGCTCCAGCACTTTTATCGCTTTTTTTTCGTTCCATCTTTTGAGGCATTGTTGGAGCCTTGGAGGAGCACCACCACCATCAGCTTTTTTTCGGCTGCACCACCGTACACCACCGGCTACAGCGAGAACCCCTGCCCTTTTTTCCGTGCCCGTGCAAGCCGTTGCATCTTGCACACCGTCACCGACTCCAACTCCCAAGCCTCTGCCGACAACGGACGTCCTTCGCCTGCGGTCTTTCAAGCATTACGCCGGCCATGCCCCCCTACGGAGTACGACGTTCCCTGCTACCACCCAATACCCGCCCGATCGCCCGCCCGCTGCCGCCGTATCGCCTGGACCGGGCCCAACGTCCTTTCGCTTCAGCAACAGGGGGATGCGATGTAGCTGGCTCGCAGCGAGCGAGCGCATTGCTCCTTGGACCAAGTCTGAAGCCGAGAAAGAGGGAGACACGGGGCACCGCTCAAGCCGAACCAGCGTCCCCTAGGTAATAGCACTTGATCGTTTCCGAGACACTCGACGTCCGCGGTCATCCCATCTTGCTCCATCACCGCAATGCAACAAAACACTTCGTTGACCACTTGATTTTGGCTCGCGTCTCGCGCTCCTCTTCGCTTGCCGTCATCACCGTCACGCACTTATCCCTCATGGCAATGCTGATGCGCACGCAGTCTGCGCTAGGTTATCGCAAGTCGTTCTTCCCATTACCTCTAGCGCTGGTTTGCCTTGCCAAGCCAACCTCTACGGCAAGCGGGAATTCCCATCTCTCAAGTTCTCCATCTAATCCCCGGGAGGCATGGCCATCTAAGGCCCCGTTCCCCAATTCGCGGTGGTCAGCCCCGTGGCCCCCTTCAAAAATGAAGCCCCGTCGGCCAGTCATCGACTAGAAATCTTCCGTCAGCAGAAAGAGCGGGGATCGGCGCAGGATCATGGATGGGGAAGGGAAGAGAAAAAATGAGTCTGGTCCCCTTGGACGCCGGGCTCATTGCACCCTTCACGCTTTATGGGGTCCCTACTAAGGAACTGCAAGAACTGCAAGAACTGGGGGGGATGACTGCGGTTCCATGAATTTGCATACCCACGCTATTCCCTGTCCGGCGCAGTGCAGCCGCAAGCCTGCAGCTGGAAAGTGGATCAATGCCGTTGGTTTTTTGTTTGCGCTTGACGAACCGTCTTTTTTCTTCGCCTTTCGCTGCCACTGCTCTTGTGACTCTTTTTGTCCTCTCCTTCCCCAAATTCTCCAATAAACTTTGCCTTTGGTTTAAAGAAGGCGGTGGCCGCCTCCGGTTCATATTTCCTGCTATTTGCCTTTGTCTCTCGACATCTTGTTGCCAAACCGCATAGCAGAACGCATCATATTACCCCGCTGCTTTTTTCCCACCTACCTTAGACTCTTGCTTCACGTCCTAGTCCCGATTCATCTGCCCTCGACCTCGTAAACTCGACGTCACAGAACTTTGACCACGCATAATCGAACCGTAGAGCTCGGATTTGCTCAGCGCGAGTTGGTTGCTCCTTTAACTGCCAAAATGACGAAACCGACAAAGCCAAAGTTGCCCGCAAAGCAGCTGGCCATTCTGGGTAAGGCAACCTCGCATTTCTGAACATGTCAAACGCTTGCTTTTTCTTTCAAACGCGCCTTCAACAGATCCGATAGTACCGGTGACAACCAAAGCGAGGCAAGTGCCGCGAGACCACGCATGACGGTCTCCGAAAAACTTCAGGGTCATGCGATGGAAGGATTGCGATTTTCTTGGGATCGCCTTGGTAGACTACGAGGTTATGGACGGGTGGAAATCTGCGTGTTCTCGCCTTGTTACCGCCACTCTGTCTTTAGACACACGTACTCCAAACCTACCTCGAAATGCGACTATAGCATGGTCTTGATCTTCCAAGCTGCCTGATCAACGTGAACCGATGAGGCCGACAAACTTTACCAAGCCGAAAGTGCTCCAGCGTGTACACAAAGCTGGAATAAAGGATGGAGATTTGACATTAACTCGACCCAGGGTGCTCTCGATACTCCATGAGATGCATTCATCATTTTTCTTCTAGGCCCCGAAGCTAATTCGATTACAGCCGTTGCGCGGTTTGCGGAGCCTCTCGCCCTCACATCCGTCTTCCCATACCTGCCCGAGATGATTCGCAGTTTCGGCGTGGAACAGAACGACGTCGCAAAATGGGCCGGTATCACGTCCGCCGTCTTCTCGCTTTCACAGAGTGTAACTGCGGTACCGTGGGGTAGAGCTTCTGATCGATTTGGAAGAAAACCAACCATCATCGTCGGCCTGCTATCAACAATGTTCTTCTTCTGTGTTTGGGGTGTTTCAACAAGTCTGCCCATGGCCATCACTGTGAGAGCTATTCTCGGAAGTGGTAACGGAAATGGTGCGTTTCCCTCTGATCTGTAGGGTTTTCATCTGACGCTGACACTGGATTAGTTGGTATCATCCGCACCATGGTTGCAGAGATGGTGCCAGAAAAGGAACTACAACCCCGTGCATTCTCGGTTATGCCTCTCATCTGGTCCGTTGGCTCCATCTTCGGCCCGGCGTTTGGCGGGTTCTTTGCCAGGCCAGCCGACCGCTTCCCCGCTGTCTTTGGCGATAGCTGGTTTTTCAAGGCGTATCCCTTTGCCTTGCCAAACTTCATCGCTGCGGTCTTCTTCTTCATCTCAGTCACGACCGCCACTCTCTTCCTCAAGGAAACGCTCGAGAGCAAGCGACACAAGCCCGACTGGGGACTCTTGATGGGCGAACGCATCACCCGCTCGTTCCGCCGCTCTCGTTATCACCATCATCACCATGCCAGAGCTCGACGCACCTCGTTTGTTGACGGCGAGGCTACCGCACCCCTGGTGCCTCACAAGACTCCCCCAACACATCCGGTCGAGGACAACAAGGCTCTGGAGGCACCCAGCATGAAGGAGGTTTTCACTGCTCAGACGAGTATCAACTTGCTTTGCTACACCTTCCTCGCCCTCCACTCCGTGGCTTTTGATCAGGTTTTGCCAGTGTTCCTCAACTACCCCAAGCAGGAGCACACCCCGGATAACACGAACCTACCCTTCCAATTTTCTGGTGGCTTTGGCCTCGACTCTGGCCGCATCGGTACCATTTTCACCATCTATGGCATCACTTGCGGCGTGATCCAGTTTTTCGTCTTCCCACCTCTGTGCAACTACTTTGGTGTCCTGCGTTGTTTCCGCGCATGTGGTGCGTATACTATCTACTGCTATGTATGTTGCATTTGAAACTGACCGTCTGTGCAGCCGTGACTTTTCCCATCGTCTACATTCTGGCCCCTTATGTGGTCCTCTTCGAGAGCACTGCAGGGCGTTACACCGCTCTCTTGATAGTCATGTTCGTCAAAGCCTGTGCCGTAATCATTGGCTTCCCGTGCATGACCATCCTCCTGACCAACTCGGCCTCTTCGCTCCGTATCCTGGGTACCCTCAACGGCTTCGCTACTATGTTCAGTGGATTCGGCCGTGCTTTCGGTCCCGCCGTTGCGGGTGCCGCTTTCAGCTGGGGTGTTGCCAGAGGTTATGTCATCACCGCTTACTGGTTCCTCGCGCTCACTGCCATCATTGGAGCCATCCCCATCTACATGCTGGTCGACTACGATGCTCTGACTCAGACCCCTGACACGAGCGATGACGAGGACGAGAGTGTTAGCGATGAGGGCTACGCCAGCGAAGGCAGTGCTGTTGCTTCTGGCAGTGGACAGGCCACCTCGAATGAGACGGCGCCTTTGTTGAGTGCTAAGAATGGGGCACCGGGATACGATTCCGTCAGTCCCACGCGGTCTTGATGTGCCTATCTACCCCTTGGTGACTAGCATGCTGCTTTCATGTTTTTCGCAAGCGCGCAATTGACGTTTCAAACGAGAATGATACAAGAAGGAAACGCTATATACGAGATCTACGGCCAGCTCTTCTGGGGGTTTTGAAATTGAGGCTGGCATTGGTTGGTGCTTTTCTTACCTTTGTGGCATATCTAGGTCCATCATTGCCTGGCGTCTAGCATTGCAGGTTCCGTAATGGCTTGTTTTGTTGTCATTGAGGGCATTCATTTTGGTTTGGTTCTGGGCGGTTATCAAAAGCATCATTATTGTTCGGTTTCGTTGTAGGCACTTGAACACATCTACATGGGCATTGCTCTTTGCGAGAAGAAGTTTCGAACCAATTATAGCCGCTTAATATCACAAACATGTCAACAATTAGTTCAGGATGGAATATGGTGTCGAGGATGGTGAGTGATGAGCGTTTGCTTACATGCTACAGACAGATCGGCCGACGCATGATGAAGATGGCCTAGTTTATCGTCTTGGAACGTAGCCCAAGTACGTTTGCGTATGGTTATACATCAACAAGATTTTCACGTGAGAACCAGTAAAGGGAACGAAGAGTCATGATCATTGAAACCAGTTTTGAATTTTTCTTGTCTCCTCGAGAGAAAGTTTTTTTTGGTATTCAGTTCGCTGCATCATCCATCTCAAGAGGCGTCTCAGGCCCGACCACCCCTTTTTCTCCCAAAGACTCCGAAAACTCCGCTGTACTGAAGCACTACCGCCCTGCCCAAAGCCCGTCTTTTGCTTCGCCCTCATCTTCGGAAAGGGTGAGGGTGTAGAGGCTGATTTTCTATTTTGTATCCTCCCAAGTCCCATTTTGCCCACTTTGATTTTCATCAACCCTTATTTTTTTGGTCCACCCATATTGGTTAAGAAAGAAGAAAATATTCCCAATTGACATCTTTGTTATCCGTTTTCTCATATCGCGTGGTAGCCTACTGCTAGTACTACTACGAGCCAGCTAGATTCTTTACCGTTTTTCAGGCAAAGAGCTTCTTCTCGTAGGACTCCATGTTGACGTTACCCTCCATCTGAGCGCTGGCGGTGCGGAGCTCGAAGCGGAGGGTGCCGTTGTCGACGGACTCGCGGAGCTCCTTGAGGGACTGGATACCGCAGTCCTGCATGGAGTGCTTGAGGCCGGCGGAGAGGTAGGGGATGAAGCGGCTGATGGGGCCGCGGTGGGCGACGGAGCCGGTGACGCCCTGGGCGACGAGGACGCTGTCGCCCTCGGAGAAGTAGCGGGCGGTGCCGGCGTTGCTCTTCTGGCTGTCCTTGCCGCCGTTGCCGGCCTTCTTGTCCTGCATGGCGTCGATGGAGCCCATGCCGCGGTAGGCCTTGACGAGCTTGCCCTCGCGGGAGACGAAGGAGGTTCCGGGGGACTCGGTGGTTCCGGCGAGGAGACCGCCCATCATGACGGTGGAGGCGCCGAGGGAGAGACCCTTTACGACGTGGCCGACGTTCTGGACGCCGCCGTCGGCGATGCAGGGGACGCCGAAGCGGGCGGAGAAGCTGCTGACGGAGTGGACGGCGGCGGCCTGGGGGCGGCCGACGGCCATGACCTCCTGGGTGATGCAGGCGGAGCCGGAGCCCATGCCGATGCGGAGGCCGTCGACGCCGGCCTCGATGAGGGTGGCGGCCTGCTCGCGGGTGACGACGTTTCCGCCGACGACGTCGAGGCCGGGGAACTCCTTCTTGATCCACTGGACCATCTCGACCTGGTACATGGAGTTACCCTGGGAGGAGTCGAGGATGACGACGTCGAGGCCGGCGTCGACGAGGAGCTTGAGGCGGTGCTTGTCCTCGGGGCGGGTGCCGATGGCGGCGCCGCAGAGGAGCTGCTTGCTGTCGGGCAGCTTGGAGGCCAGGGGGAAGTGCTGGTTCTTGTTGAGGTCGGAGCGAGAGATCATGGAGACGAGGTTGCCGTCCTTGTCGACGATGGGGAGCTTGCCCTTCTTGGACTTTGCGAGGATCTTGTTGGCCTCGGACAGGTCGGTGCCGTCGGAGGCGGTGATGAGGTCGGTGACCATGACCTTGGAGATGGAGAGGGAGGCGTCGTCCTCGAACTGGATGTCGCGGTTCGTGACGATTCCCAGCAGCTTGGAGCCGAGCTTGCCGGTTTCTGCAGACGATGGTTAGTCATGTCTGTGTGTTTTCTGGCGGGCCGCAACCCGCTGCAGTTGATAGAAAATGTGTAAAGGTTTTGCTTTGATCATAGTATAAGGTCTCCTCAGAACGACATGGTCGTCGAATTGGTGGAACGAAAGTTATAATTGAAAAAGGTTTGTAATCATGTAAAGCGAGGGGAACTGAAGCTTGTGGGAGAACAGGCTTTGGTAGGTAGGTAAGGAAAAAAGGGGGGGAGGGGTTGACAAACCTGTGACGGGGAATCCTCCAAAACCCCACTTCTCCTTCAAGGCCTTTGCCTCGCCGACGGTGGTGTCGCGGCTGATGACGACGGGGTCGATGATGAAGCCGTTCTCGTAACGCTTGACCTTGCGGACCATGTCGGCCTGCTCCTCGGGGGAGCAGTTGTGGTGGATGACACCGAGACCACCCTGCAGAGCAATGGCGATGGCCATCTCGTGCTCGGTGACGGTGTCCATGGGGGAGGACACGAAGGGGGTCTTGAGGGTGATTCTCTTGGTGACGGGGGAGTCCAGGACGACGGCAGAGGCGGGGAAGCCAATGTAGCCGGGGAGGAGCAGGAAGTCGTTGTAGGTCAGACCACCGTGCTTCTTGGTGTCCATGAGCTCGTGAATGTCGAGGCCATCGCGGCTCTCGTACTCCTTCAAGACCTGGAGGGCGGTCTTGGAGTCGAGCACCTTGGCGCCAGTGATACCGTTGGTGGAAGGCATCTTTTGTGTGAGAGAGAAGTTTTCTCGTTTTCTTACCGAGTGAACAGAAGAAAGATGAAAACGGAGTCGAAGAACTTGCTAGTAATTCGAAAAGAAGACCAAAGGCAACAGAAAAGCTTGGTCGATTCGAAAACTAAGGTTGGTTATGTCTCTTCTTCCCGTAAGAAAGAAGGGAAAAAAATTCTTGAGACGACACCCCGCAGGAAATTTTTTAAAGTGAACGGTGCGCGACCGGCGGAAGGAGGGGCAGGAGGGGCAGGCGGTGAGTGGCTACAGTGTGGCGCAACTCCCTTGAGTGTGCCTTTACTGTGTTCACCACCACCGCAGTATTGTTTTCCCAGTCCATCCAATCTATTCCCATGAGATGGCTTGTTTCGTTAATGAAGGAGATGGCATTATGTCTGGTATTCTGTTCGCTTGCGCTATACTTGACCATCTGACATTTTCGTTCATGAAAAAGGGGTTTCAAAATGCCAGACGCCCAGAACAAGTATGGAATAGTGCCGCCAAGTCAGGTAGCAGCCGGTAGATCTGACATTGCCTTATGTAAGAAACATTCGGGGTCTCGACTCGCGAGATATGACGCAACCCCACTGGGCACCTTGGTGGCCGAGAAAAAAAAACAGTCGGGATGGGGAACAAGAAAATCCAGCCAAGTGTGCTTGATATTTGCAACAATGAGAGAGAACGTTTTGGCTGTCAACTGTTGACACAGGACCTCATTAGTGCAGATGAGAATTTTCTGTCCAGACGGAACCCAAGGTGCCTTGTCGAGAAGAGTCCTGCAGAGTTTGCTTGTGTTCGTAGCCTTTGGTTGGCCAGAGCAACCGACGCAGGACAATCCTTGCTCGGGCTGCGTGAGCTGGACAGACCCCAGCGCCAGCAGAAGTGATTGCATGCTTCCGTTCGGGAGCGAAAGGCGGTGGGATGCTGAGGAAGCAAGATGCCATAGCAGCGAAGAGTCGAGTACTGAGGATTGATCCTCATGTTTTTCTTTCTGGCATCTACCTAAGTATAGCTTTCTAGCATACAGAATGATCTAAAGCGACCTCCATGCTGAGCCTCTTGTACAGTCGAGCCTAGGGGACGCTTAGGATTCATCGAATGGAATGCGCATCCATCATGACTTGGATCATATATCACCTGCTACTAAACAAAGCCAATGTGCGCTACCTAAACTCTAGAAACGTCGTTCTTCCATTGTGAGCTGAGATCGAGGGTTCGCAACAGTGACCTCACGTCAACATGAGAACAATGGTGGGCTCTGATTGGCTGTTCCAAGGTCCGTAACACCAAAAGCAACAAAGAAAAGAAACAAGACCAAACAGCGGACCACATACTAATAGCCAAATGAACGAATGCACAAATAAAAACATTTCTCGCCTACGTATCCGTACTAAGGATTACTCGGACTGTCCAAACGACTATATCGCTCGTATTGGCGGGTCCATTGACTGCTGCACGTAGGCGTTTTACAAACAGTGACATGCATCGAGCTAGAGAATGGGGAGGTGCCACAGATAAAAGACCGAGTTTTGGAGGGGAGGTATCCATCACGGCGTGTCTGTCCTGCGATCCCTCGATCGTGTTGACATCGTTCTTGCAAAGGTATTCCCCGCTGTTGTCTATCTCACAACCTTGACGTCGTCAATGATGTCTACAATCTTGGTTCATCCAGAGGGTTGAGCAATGTTCCCTGGGCGACAGAAAATTCAATCAGGTTAGATCGGACGACGTGTCAAAGGTTCTGAACGGGGAATCCGTAGTCAATGGCATCTGCCAAAAGAGGTCAGATGAGAGCGGCGACGGTTTGGCCCGCAGTCAGTGACAGGTTTTTCCAAGGAAAGTGCCTGAACATGTTGACCAGATCGACCTTGCAGCTTTGGGCCTCACCGGACCATTTATATTGTTGACCAGAAACCTTTTGGGGCAAGTTGGGACAAGTTTGAGAAGCGCCTGGCCCAGAGAAAAGCAGATGACAACCCAATTGACAGAGAGCGGAGGCGGGGCGGAGGGCCGTGCAACGGAAGATTGCTGCATCGGTCTCCACTTTAAAAGGCCGGGCGGGTGCGACGCAGGGGCCAGCAAGAGCCACAAGCCACCCGA